ACAAAAACCTCCAAAAAGAAGAGTTCCACAATGTTTTTGATTTTCCAAATAACCAATAATCAATACAATTAAGAAACAGAATGGAGCTATAATGAGTACAATTTGCAAAGCTTAGAAAAGTAAACACCATGTGTGTGTGTGTGTGTGTGTGTTTTTATTTTTTTATTTTTTTATTTTGATATGTGTGAGTGCCAAGCTGGCATGCATAACAAAGCTGAGTTGGCAGTGATTATTTTATGTACCCAGTTTCTATGTTCTGGAGACCTGAAGGCACAAGCATAAAAAATCCAGACTTGTTGGAATGGTTATTGTCGTTTTTGGTTTTTGTGCCTTCTTTTGATTGTCCTTCAGGTTTGAGTTGTATTATTAATATAATTTTTATAAAGTTTTTTTTTTTTTTTTTTTTTGCCAGAGTACTTGTTGACCTCCATTTGAATTTGAACTTGTGTAACCCCTGGAAGATGATTCTTTCCATGTTGTGATTTCAAATTTCTGTTTGACTTGTTCTTTTGACAAAAAAAAAATAATAATAATAAAAAATGAAAATTTGAAGGTTGGTTTCTGGATAGAATAAAAATTTGTTTCCGATTGTGAGGATTCATTGGTGAAAATGATTTTTTGAAGAAAAGGAGGAATGGAACAAACGACCTTTTGGAACAGTGTTGTGCTGAAACATATTTCACTCAGACGTATTTTAAGTGATAAAAAAGTGATTATATTTTTGTTATTTTAATTTACAGTTATTATTTTTAATGTGAATATAATAGAAACCATCAATTAATTCTGAAAACGAGTTACAAAGTTTTTCACACAAATGGGAAATCATTTTGCACATATCCAAATCTTAAGCTGGGTTCTTAAAAACAACAAATTTGTACAAGTTTTAGAACCAGATTTAAAGGTGTAAATTTATCAACCCATTTTTTAGAGTTTGCAATTCATTCTTCTACAGAATTTCAAATAATTTCTTAGCAGCAAGGAGACCACATTCTTTTTTCTTTTAAAAAAAGTATCTTTTATACTTCAATATAAGTATTTGTTTTATGTTTTGGATTCAGGTTTCAACTATGCTATTTATTTTAAGCCTCTATCAAAATAATTGACTTGATCTTCAATCTTTCATTTATGTAATTTTGTTGTATCAGTTTTGTTGAGTTCTTAGACAACCTTCAACAAATGAGTTTTTTTTCACCCAGAATTAATCTAAAGTCTTCAGAATCATTAATAGTAAAAAGCCTTGCAAGAGAAAAAAGAACACATCAAACAAGTGTTTTACACACTGTTCTTTTTGCACAATATGATCAGGCACCTTTCTTTGTTATTATATTCAACTGCAACACATTAATGTATTTTCTTTTTTCTTTTTTCTTTTCTTTTGATTGTATGACATGTCAAAAGGATATTTCAAGTATTCAATTTTTTTCACATTGGTATTTGTTACTTTGCACTCATATCCAGCACATTTCTGTACAGCATGCCAATGTGCACACACACACACACACAATACTGTATCATTCTGTGTTTTTCCCCTCTCCCCCACTGTAAACAATACTGATTGCCTCCACCATCCATGAAGAAGAGATGTCTGCATAATACACAATAAGTTGTTGAGAATGGTACTACTTTAAAACTTATGCTGCTGCTGCTGCTGCCTACAACAACAATACCAAAGGCTTGCAATTTGAAATATAGTGCTGCAGTTTTAGGGCATATGGATCAGTCCACACCCATTAATGAAGGCATTATAGATATCATTGATCCCATTTACCCAAGCCCCTGAAACCCTACATTGCCTTGAGCACTTTGGTTATAGAGGTTGACCAAATCCTGCACAGCTCAAGTCAACTCACTTACACACAACTGAGTACTGGATTAGTGGTACTGGTTATGAATATTTTCTTCATTCAAGGGTACCAATTTTATTTTATTTTATCTTATTTATGTTACTTTTGATTATTTTTCTTTCTAGTAAATTTTGGGTGGCACCAATTTAGAGTCAAATATCAGTTGCAGGCCTGTCAGCACTCTTTCCAAGGGCACCTTCGAAGCTTCTTGAAGACTAAGCCTCTAGAAGCAGGCTGTTGAAGTGTAAAGGGACCCAGTGATCCTGTGAGCATATGATGGACTCATATTGGGAGAGAGTGAAAGAGAGAGTGAAGAAACCCCCTGAATCATTGTTTGGAACAATAAGCTTTCAGAATGGAAACTCAGGTGTACAACTGCCTTCCAGCAAAAGACTGTGAGCCTCAAAGATGCTCTTTGCACTCATTCACCATATTCGCAACAAACACTTATCATGACCCCATTTTTTAGGTCAGAGGAAAGCTATAAGTGATGTCAGGAAATTGATCTAAGGAGGACTCAAGTTCCATTCAAACATACTGTGCTATAAAACAAACCTTTGACTGACTTTTCTCAAGACCATCCAAAGATCTGCTGCTGATGACTGTGATACCATCAGAGGAGTCTTCTTTTAGATTTATAAATAAATAAAAGACCCACCTCACATGGCTCACAAGCTTCACCCTTCTGTCTACTTTTGCAAGTTCCTTACTAAAGCCTGTTAAGGGAATAATTCCTAGTGGTTAACAGTTTGATCAATTTACTGATTATTTGAGCTTATTATAAAAACCTACTTCAGAAGCTGAACATAAGTGTAATTGTGTTAGGTATGCATGTGGGTTTTTGGACAACTTGGCTGATGCAGTATGAATGGTGAAAACTGGGTATAGAATAGAAGGGAAAAGCCATGTTTATATAGGCACACACACACACACACATGTGTATATATATATATATATATATATACATACACACATATACTCTTTTGTATTTTTTGGGTGTGGCCTTCATGACACAGATCTGTCATGGTTCACACAATCAAGCAAACACATGGCTTCCGGTAGAATTTTCTGATGAGGCAGGCAAGTTTAATCAAGAGTGGTGACCACTGTTCACTACAGCCAGTGAAGAGCAGCCACTGAAAGATTTCTACACCCAGCGCTTGCTTGCTTGGTGCCGCAGCTGCTGTTGTTGAAGGAAATGGAAGCGATTCCAGCACCCAGGAGGAAGCCTTTTTACGTCAAATCTTTAAGCCATGCCCAGATTTTTTCACGGAACCAGTCTAGGTCATATCAATTACTGTACCCATGACGAGTCAGGAAATACAACCCATGTAATTAAAAAACGAAAGGAAAAGAAAAGAATGGACCAAGAAAAACGGTGGTTGCATTGCAGAGCCAGGCTACGTACGATCTATCAGATTAATTTTTTTTGTGGTTGCTTGGAGCCATGTTTACAGTTTCATCGACAAGTGCAGAGTAAAAAAATAACACAGGAAGAGTATTAAAAGGAGGGGAAATGGGGAGTGTCGATGAGGGTGGTATGGACATTGAATTGGGATGGCAGAGTCCTGTGTGCTGTCCACATTTTGGAAGAGAATACTGTCTGACGTAATATACTGATGGCCCTGGGATGCAGCTGCAGTTGCAGAAGCAGCAGCAGAGTCCTGACGTCCTTGCGCCACTCATCGTTAGCGAGATTATTTTTTTCATGAAGACTGAGCTCACGAGGGGCCCTCAACTCGTTGAAAAAGCGTCTTCCGCGAGGGAGAAATTCGGTGCCATTAAGAAGCCAGGTAAAGGCAAGACGGTGGTTACTCTTTAACCTTGCCATAATGCCAATACATGATCTTGGTCGCTGTTGAGGGTACAAACGAAACTTTAACGCCCCGCCTGAGCATGGGCCTCGATTTACACCCAACATCCCGATTCAATGAATGCGATGATGCAGAGGTGATGTGCTATTGGGATGAGATCAATGCCAGGGCTAAGGGGAAGGGGAGGGTGAAACGATGGATTGAACTGTGTGATCGCTTCGTTGATACCTGATCGATTACAGTAGCTTAATGCTCATGCTAAGAGTTCTGGTGCGGGGTCGCTGTCGCGGAGGATGGAGGTGGCCGGTACCTATGTCTATCGATCCTTGTCAAGGTTGCTGGTTTTGTCACTGAGAGTAGAAGTCAAGTTCTGCATAATGCATGTACAATTTTGCATACATATTATTCACGGTACCCAGTCTGGTTTTGGCGGATGGGGCATTAGAGCTGTGATGGCGCAGTCAGAGGACGGGGTTTTAGCAATAGTTTCCAGTTCCAGGATGGTGAGCCACTGAGCTCCCGATGGAATTGTCAGGTTGAGAGAGAGAGCGAGGGAGAGAGAGAAGGGTAAGAAGCTGCGTTTTACAGTCTGACGCAGCTCTGACTCTAGGATCCTCCCATTGATTTCATCTCCCGGTGTAAGTCACCAGCATGCAGCAGATTTTTTTTTTCACTTAGATTGTGGTGCTGTAAATCCGCGTAAATATCTGGATAATTGCCGACGAAGTGATCCAAGGGACCTGATTTCAGGGTTCGGGAATCAAAGCGCAGATCGAAAGATTGAGAGAGAGCGAGATAACAGTTCTATTTATACATCGAGTAGTGCAGTTTGCGGATGGATTCCTCTCAGTAATACCCGCCCGCTTGTGGCTAAAGTTACGTTCTTGGTGCTGCTTGTCATGGGAGTAGTGATGGTAAGTAGTCACAAGCTGACATCGCTCGCAGTTGTGCCCCTGTACGTCGTGCAAAGCGTGTACATTTTCCCTTCCGTCTAACCCCTAGATTTGTACAGTCTTCTCGTGCATAACTGGTACAAATACAGGAGGAAAGCTGGGGCTGGTGCTGCAGGTCGGTGCGTATGGCAGACATACACACAGAGGGAGGGCGAGAGAGAGAGAAATACGTCTCTATATCGACAGGTGCAGTGAGATTTTACCCATTGGGTTCCATGGAGCGGGGTGAGATCTGCAGCAATCTCGACGTTGTTGTGAATTGGTGATTTTGCTCACCAGACGAGTGCTGCTGCTGCTGCTGCTGCTGCTGCTGTTGCGACGGATGTAGCTATTTGTCTGTGAATGATAGACTGTTGCAAAGGGGGGGGGGGGGGAGATGAAGGTTGTCTGATTGCATGACTTGTGTGACGGAAGGGAGGCTGACATCGTCACGGACCAAGGCCGGGGCAGCAGACCTGGGATTGTGGGGCCCTGTCCAGAGTGGGCTTTGCAGAGCTACATGTGCCTCGCAACCGTCTCCCTAGGCACGACGTTGTGCCTACCCCTCACCTCAGTTCACGTCACGGATCCTCGATTATAACACCCCTTCGCACTTTTAACGCGGATATAACCCTATCTCATGTGCGATGAAACGCAGATTTTCCCCCACCCCTTGGGTTCTGCGAGGTTCGTCCACCCTCATGCACATTGTCGCAAAATTTATCGGCTCTCCATTGCATTGTTCAAAACATTGCTGGGTCGTGACCGTGTCAGCAGCGTTGTGAAGGCTCAAAAATCCTCGCTGTCTTTGGTATCCATTCAACCGATTCTGAGCCCCATAGATCCACCTGAATGCGCTCTCTGTCTGTGTGTCTGTCTGTCTCTCTCGTTCAACGCTTCGAAACTCGACTTATATTCGTGTATGATCCACATTCGCCAAGCGATTGTCAACTCATTCTTTGCTACGATTGTACTTGATGAGATCTAATCGCCTAAGCGCGACTCTGGTGGCTGCCCTTATAATTTAGTTTCTGTTAGTAGCTGTGTCTGACTTTGTCTAAGCCATGTCTCACGTTGGAGGGAAACTTAACTGTTAACTTTGCTCGAAAAGACTGGAAGCACTGATCACGTGCTCTGTTGGAATGATGGTTTGTGAGTCTCAACCATGAAGATCAGTTGATGTGTGTAGAAATTTCTGAATAGAGGGCTAACTTTCTTGGTGAGGTTCATGAGAAAAAGATTAAGAAATGGGACGTTTCTCACCCCTAACCGAGCAACACTTTTGGGTAGTTATCGTGATGTGTTGCGGAGAATTCCTTTCTTGAGGTGTTCTGACGTTGATTTGAAGTTACGAAGCACCGCGCTGATCTGAGTGTCGTCGAAGCCGGTGGCTGGGGTGTCTTGGATAGTGCCTGTAATGTAAAGCTCTTTATGCAGAGATTGCTTCACGAATACTGTGTGACTTTCTGCAGCAAGAGTATCGTTTTCACACTTGATTCGCTTCTGGCATTGCAATAGGGGAGCTCGTAGCCAAAAAAATGTAATGGTAGCTTCATGCCGGCTATGTCATCTGTAAGCATTTTGTTGGCAAGTGAATCTCATGATTGTCACTATTCTCAGGTGACTTATATCTCCTCCTTGTCTCTACAGATCATTGCATCTCACGTTCGGTGGAAACCCTCTCCTCCGGTACATTCGATGAATTCGGAGTCTACATTTCGCTGTTCTAGCACCACGAGCCCCTCGAGATTGTACAATAATTTCAACCTCAGTGCTAAAGCGCAAGCAATCGACATTGTCCGGACGAGTGGATTGTTGTCGTTGACGTAAGAGACACCCAACCAGACTTTGAGGGAGTACTTCTCGAAGTAACCCCAGCTGTACGCAATTCTGCTTTGATGTTGATCTCCGGAGAGTTTTCGACTCTCAGATTCTAGCATCGGCCTTCGAGACCACAATACTATGCCTGGCTTGTTTTTCCGAAGGGTTTCATGTTGTCTTCATAACCAGCTCCAGCGGAGGAGAGGAGTTGCAACAGGAGGGGATTGTTTGCATCTGAGGTTCTAAACACGAATTTCAGCTCCTCTCGTGACGCTAGTGATGATTTGGGGCACCATTTGCTTGAGGTGTGGACTATGCAAACTCGTTATCTGTTGATATGAGCGCTTAAAAAAATGAATTCTGATTTTGCAAGGTTTCTTGATCGACCTCATGGACACTGTTTAGAAGCAATGTTCTCAATGCAGCCATTGTTGGCTCACATCCCTGCTTTCGCTTGCAATAAACTCTTTCTTATGCGAGCGACTAAATGCTCGTTTGAGTACTGTTCACGAATCTCCCTTTGTTTTCCAGAACGGTCTAGATCGATTCCTTTGGTTCAAAGTCATTGAAATTAGCTGCATGCAAGCTGGACAATAAGTCTTGAGGCCAGATTGAGAGCTTATGATGATGAGGAATGAAAAATGCAACACTTTCCCTGTTGATAACCTCTTCGTGCCTACGGAGCTCCTAATCCTCCTGAGAAATTTTTCGTGTGCACTTTTCCAGTGATGCAGTCGTCGTGCGCGAAGGAACCTGTGAATTGCTGGTCGGTGTCATCTGCGTTGGATATGGAGAAGATAAAGAATCTAAACCAATGTTAGGGTCTCTTGTCAGCGCAGAAAAGATCAACCTTTCACTGAGGAGTTGTAACCTCTCGAAGCGCTCAAGGTATGGATAGGCCAAATCAAGCGATGCTCTTGTTTACGATGCTGCTGGTCTTGGGACCATGCAGTGTGGTTGGACTCAGAAGCGACATGGCTGCTCTCCTGGCATTCAAAAAGGGGATAGTCATCGAAACTCCAGGGCTGTTGGCGGATTGGGTGGAGTCGGATACCTCTCCCTGCAAGTGGTTCGGCGTGCAGTGTAATCTATACAACGAAGTTGTTCAGCTCTCTCTACCGAATGTCGTCAGGGCTGGAACCATATCTGCACAGCTCTTCACCATCTCTTCCTTGCAGCACCTAGACCTAAACTCTAACCAACTAACAGGCTCATTGCCTCTCTCTTTCTTTAGCCTTGTCAATTTAGATTATATCGACTTAAGCTATAACGCCATCTCAGGTTCCCTTCCTCCTGAGATACACAACCTGAAGAAGCTTCGGGTGTTAAATCTGAGCAGCAACTCATTCTCTGGTTTCATTCCTCAACAGATTGGTGGTTTGGTTTCCCTTGACCACCTCGACCTCAGCACCAACTCTTTCTCTAATGTTGTTCCTCCTCAAGTTGCAGACCTTGTGAACCTGCAGTACCTGGATCTTAGCAGCAACGCTCTCTCAGGGGAGATTCCAGCCATGTCGTCTTTATCAAAGCTTCAGCGCCTTGATGTTAGTGGGAATCTGTTCGCTGGTTATATTTCCCCCTTGCTGTCCAGTCTGTCCAACTTATCTTACGTAGACTTGAGTAACAATTCCCTCACCGGCACCATTCCTATTGAAATATGGAACATGAGATCGTTGGTTGAGCTGGACCTTGGAGCTAACCCTCTAACGGGGAGCCTTCCGAAGGAGATTGGGAACTTGGTCAATTTGCGCAGCATATTCTTGGGCTCTAGCAAACTCACAGGAACCATTCCTTCAGAAATTTCGTTGCTGGTTAACTTACAGAAGCTTGATCTAGGCGGGAGCACGTTGTCTGGGCCCATACCCGACTCCATTGGAAACTTGAAGAATTTGGTGACATTGAACCTGCCGAGCGCTGGCTTGAATGGCTCCATTCCTGCATCTCTGGGCGGTTGCCAAAAACTTCAGGTCCTCTCACTTGTGCATGATTCCTTTTTGCGTCATGTTTTACTCACCGGATCGTCGCCCTCGAATTTGTATTCAGTACTTGGAAATGGATCCCTGGGGTGACGAAGCAGGGATTTGAAAGTAAGCTCTGCTAGAAAAGCTTGTGCAGCTATTAGAGACTGATTATTGGGTGTTTTGTGTGTATTGTAGGTTATTGATCTTGCCTTCAACTCACTAACTGGCCCAATTCCTGACGAGCTTGCTGCTCTTGAGAATGTCCTCTCTATTTCACTGGAGGGAAACCAGCTGACCGGTCCTCTACCAGCATGGTTCAGCAACTGGAGAAACGTCTCCTCTCTTCTTCTGGGAACAAACCGCTTTACTGGAACCATCCCTCCTCAGCTTGGAAATTGCCCAAACCTGAAGAACCTTGCTCTGGACAACAACCTCTTGTCAGGTCCTATCCCTGCCGAGCTTTGCAATGCTCCTGTGTTGGAGAGCATCTCATTGAATGTCAACAACTTAAAGGGGGATATCACCAGCACTTTTGCGGCTTGCAAAACTGTACAAGAAATCGACGTGAGCTCAAACCAGCTGTCTGGGCCAATACCCACGTATTTTGCTGCTCTTCCCGATTTGATCATACTCTCGTTGACTGGGAACTTGTTCTCTGGTAATTTGCCCGATCAGCTATGGAGCTCAACGACACTGCTTCAAATTCAAGTGGGGTCCAACAATCTCACTGGGACCCTCTCTGCGTTGGTTGGACAGCTCATCTCTCTCCAATTTTTAGTCCTGGATAAGAACGGATTCGTGGGGCCTATCCCCCCAGAAATCGGACAATTATCCAACCTGACCGTCTTCTCTGCACAAGGCAACCGATTCAGCGGAAATATTCCTGTTGAAATTTGCAAGTGCGCCCAGCTGACGACTCTCAACCTTGGCAGCAACGCATTAACCGGCAACATCCCACACCAGATCGGGGAGCTTGTCAATCTTGACTACCTGGTTCTGTCGCACAACCAGCTCACAGGCAACATTCCCGTCGAGCTTTGTGATGATTTTCAGGTAATCTCAAATTAATGTCGGTTCTTTCTTCTCTTTCTCTGTTTTGCTTAGTTGCTGATGTTGAGACATGGAACAGAGTTGTGCGGATGTAGGTAATGTTTTGCTCTTGGGTTTATGTCGAACTTGTCGATTTTGAATACCATGTTTTGTTGATCTGCCCAGGTGGTTCCCATGCCCACTTCCGCTTTTGTTCAACATCACGGCACGTTGGACCTCTCATGGAACAAGCTCAACGGAAGCATCCCACCCGCTCTCGCTCAGTGTCAAATGCTCGTGGAGCTGCTCTTGGCGGGTAACCAGTTTACAGGGACCATACCTGCAGTGTTTTCTGGGCTCACGAATCTCACAACTTTAGATCTCTCAAGCAATTTTCTCAGCGGCACCATTCCACCCCAGTTGGGCGATTCTCAAACCATCCAGGGACTGAATTTGGCCTTCAACAATCTCACAGGCCACATCCCTGAAGACCTCGGCAACATTGCCAGCCTTGTGAAACTAAATCTAACAGGAAACAACCTCACTGGGCCGATCCCTGCAACCATCGGTAACTTGACGGGCATGTCTCACTTGGACGTGAGTGGTAACCAGCTCAGTGGCGACATACCGGCAGCTTTGGCTAATCTCGTGTCAATCGTGGGCTTGAACGTGGCGAGAAATCGTTTGACAGGCAGCATTGCCGGGCTGCTATCGGAGAGCACAGTGTGGCACCAAGTACAATATCTGAATCTGAGCTTCAACACTTTATCAGGATCTCTACCTGTTGAAATTGGAAACCTAACGGGTTTATCCATCCTTGATCTTCGAGAGAATGCTTTCACAGGGCACATTCCGGGCGCTGTCTCGGGGTTGACACAGCTGAGCTACTTGGACCTCTCATATAACCAGCTGGTGGGGTTATTTCCTGCTGAGCTTTGCACACTGAAGGAGATTAAGTTTCTCAATATGTCGTATAATCAGATTGGAGGGCTCGTTCCGCACACTGGCAGTTGCATAAACTTTACGGCATCATCCTTCATTTCAAATGCGAGGAGCATTTGTGGAGAAGTGGTGAGAACGGAGTGTCCAGCAGAGATCCGACACGCGAAATCATCAGGAGGACTAAGCACAGGAGCCATTCTGGGACTCACAATTGGCTGCACCATAACTTTCTTGAGTGTGGTTTTTGTGTTCCTGAGGTGGCGTCTGCTCAAACAAGAAGCCATCGCGAAGACGAAGGATCTGGAGAGAATGAAGCTGACTATGGTCATGGAGGCTGGGGCGTGCATGGTAATTCCAAAGTCGAAGGAGCCTCTGAGCATCAATGTGGCCATGTTCGAGCAGCCTCTGCTGCGCCTCACATTAGCCGATATTCTCCTCGCGACGAACAACTTCTGCAAGACGAACATCATCGGTGACGGAGGCTTTGGCACAGTGTACAAAGCAGTTTTGCCAGACACCAAGAGGATCGTTGCCATTAAGAAACTGGGTGCGTCTCGTAGCCAAGGCAACCGGGAGTTTCTTGCGGAGATGGAGACATTGGGCAAAGTGAAGCATAGAAACTTGGTACCATTGCTCGGGTACTGCTCTTTCGGAGAGGAGAAGCTGCTTGTGTACGAGTACATGGTGAATGGAAGCCTAGACCTATATCTTCGAAACAGAGCTGATGCGGTTGAGCATCTTGACTGGGCCAAGCGTTTTAAGATAGCCATGGGCTCAGCGAGAGGTTTGAACTTCCTTCACCACGGCTTCATTCCGCACATTATTCACAGAGACATCAAAGCGAGCAACGTTCTTCTCGACGCCGACTTTGAGCCCCGAGTTGCAGACTTTGGCCTCGCAAGGTTGATTAGTGCTTACGAGACCCATGTGAGCACGAGTCTGGCAGGCACCTGTGGGTACATTCCTCCAGAATACGGGCAGAGTTGGCGGTCCACCACGCGAGGAGATGTATACAGTTACGGAGTGATACTTCTGGAGCTACTCACTGGGAAGGAACCCACTGGGTCTGATGTTAAGGATTACCATGAGGGCGGCAACTTGGTGCAATGGGCTCGGCAGATGATCAAAGCTGGAAACGCAGCCGATGTGTTGGATCCCATTGTGTCAGATGGGCCGTGGAAGTGCAAAATGCTCAAAGTGTTGCATATTGCGAACATGTGCACTGCGGAGGATCCTGTCAAGCGGCCCAGCATGCTGCAAGTGGTGAAACTCTTAAAGGACGTCGAGATGTCATCACAGCTTTCTACACACGACGATGCTCAGTAATCGGCAAGGTACTTTATACCCAGGCATTGCTTTGTAGCCAGCATTATGCACACTGTCTGCTCAAGAAGAAGAAGAAGAGTTTCGGTGGTCTAGCTTGCAGTATATCATCACGTTGGGGATACTGATGCAGTTTCACAAACAACAGTGATGCAGATAAATCCACTCATGCCCAGTTCAAGCTCGTCGTGACACCCTACGCTGATCTCAAACTCACATCGATGTTGTTTACACGACAGGTAATTTTTTTCTTCTCACTTCCAACTCATCAAACCTCAAAAATTGAATTTTTTTTACAAAAAAAAAAAAAAAAAAAAAAAAAAACCATCGTGATCTCTTTCCTCAGCTGAAACAAGTTTCACGTACCGCAAAAGTCATCGCTGAACACGAATTAGTGCAACTATGCGCAGGCATTTAAAGACCTCACAGGGTGGGGGAACCTCAACTCGAATTTCTTCAGCAACAGACCAGACTCGCGAATCTCAAACTCCATGTCACTAATTAGGTAGGATGTAAACCATTCTTAAGGTTAGTTCAAGGCAACCTTGCACTCCTCTTCATTACTATAACACAGCCCATTCCCCGAGCAATGTATCATACATAGTAGAATATTCTAGATAGTTAGTTAGCTAGTTGTCGAAGCTTCATCCGATTGCTTGTCAACATTCTTGCGCTGCTCATCGTTACCATGGTGTTGAGGAGTCAGTCCCACCGACACCCACATTCTTGCCTTATCTTAGTCCAGTTCTTGTGGCACTATTGCAGCTACTGTGTCTCCTTTGTCTGCACACTACAAAATTCCACATTAGCATTATTGATATCACCCATGTGAGTCAATTTGCATGATGTTCAAATTCACCTTGAATGCCTCGCACTTTTATCATGTTTCAACTTCATCTTCTGATCGGGCACTCTTGTACTAAACTGTATCACCACCTGTTTTGGCTCTGTTTCACTGGTTTGGTTACCCATGCTGATTTGCACAACATTGATATTGTGATTGAAGAAACTCGACTGTTTACACGGTGAAAGAGAATATGGTATTATTGATGCCACTGTTTGTAAGGAGTTCTGAGGTCATTGATGGACTTATTCATTGTTCCTACTTTGTTTCGTATACTACCCATGTTGAGGTTTTTTTCTAGGTGATGTGGGTAGCCAGCTTCATGTTTGCACTGGCATCTGTCATCACTTTTTCTTTTTGTCTTTTTTCTGCCGTTTGAAGATTGAAATTTTAATTCTGGTTTTGTTGTGTTGAGAAAAATAATGAATAACTAGGTTCAAGATTATGACAGATTTTATACCTCTCTCAAGGTGTATAAAACCAGCATATTTGCAAAATCATTTTTTAAAATTTTTAATGTATATTCTATCCCACAAAACCAAATATAAGATTATTTATAATAATATTAAGAAAATTGAAAAGTATCAAACTTACAAATTGAAAGAAAAAGGACATAATCTACTTGGAAATTAGCAATTCTATTATTTTTTAATTTAATGTTGAGCTCATAGCACCAATATTGCATAATTGCACCCATTAATTTGCTTTTAGTATGTATGTAGATTTTGGAATTTAACTAAATTATTAACTCACCAAATTTTACTTCAATCCAACCAAAAAATTAAATAAAATCTTAAAAACCTACAATGACCTTCAAACTACTAATTAATAATACTTCAATCTACTTAAATTCTAATAAATTTTCACTTGTCTAACCAATTGAACTCAAATTCAAGGCACAAACTTACTACACAAACTTGCAAAAACTAACAAAATTATAATCATATTTTTGCTATGAAATTCACATAATTATCCAAAAAAATAAACTTTACTTTATTTTTTAAAACCAAAGTTATCCAAATCCATTTCTAACTTTGTATGGCTCTTACAAAGTCATTATTCACTCGAAATACTTAAAATTAATGGTCCTACAGTCTTTCTTAAATTTTCTCTTTAACTCTACTCTTCAATCAAACAAAGAAATCTAGATATACCATAAGATTGTGCTTTTATGCCTAGGGATTTAGTTTTGATCATGGTTTACAATCTACCCTTCTTAGATATTGATTCAAGGTTTTTATAGATGATTTTTGTTGAAAAATATGTTTTATTTTTATCTAAAGATGCATATAGTGTTAATTTTTCTAATCTATTTTTATTTTGCCTTGTTTATAGCCTTATAGAAGTCTTTTGGAATAAAATAAAAAAATTATATAATTTTTCTACTTCCTCATATTTTTTACCTTTGATTTCTAAAATTAAAATTTTAACTAAATTTCCAATTAAGTTTTCATGTGATATGGATATATTTTATTCTTTTATCAAATAGTCATATTACAACATAATAAAATACACATATGCACAAATGTTTATAAAGAAGTTATTAATTTAGAAATATGAAGCATCATGTTTTATGTTATTTAGCATTTAGATAATCATTAAATACAAAAATATCTTAGATGAGCTCAAAAAAATTGTATTGCAATAATAGTTGGCATAAGCTTTTGACTTGTAACATTGCTCAATTCAACAATTACACAATTAATTTCAAAAATGACCATAATTTCTTTGTGTTGCAAACAACTTTCTAAAAAATAATAAAAATATATAGTGAAATAGAACTGGTCTATTTCAAATGTCCAAGATTCTTCTAATCTAAAGCAACAAGAAATCTCATCACAAGGTAGGACAAACTAGACCAAAATAAAACTGAATACAACTAAACAAAATGGAACACGAAAGATAAAATTGAACAACCAAAATTAGAACAAAATAGAACAAAAAAAATTGTATTAAGAAAAAGGATCTAAAACCATATTTGACTAGATATCCCAAAAGGCCCTAATCAGTCCTATTTATACTTTGTTCTACTACCGTAGACTTTTTAGTATATTCCTAGATGATAGACCTCACTTAGATAACTATCTTAAACTCTGTTTAGAAGGTTCTATGGAAGATCCTATATAGATAATATCCTAAGTCTTTTCTAGAAGGTTTTATGGTGGATCCCATCTAAATAACATCCCTAAATTCTTTTTAGAATATTCTATGTTGGATCCTATTTGATCCACTAACCTAATCCTAATTCTAGAAACTTCTATAACTTTTGAAATATGATTCTAATTATCTATTTCTATGTGTTAATAATACAAATATCTTATCTATACTCAATTACAATTAATCTTCTTCCACTAATGTGAAACTTCCTTGTTTTGCTCTTGATCATATCTCCAAATTGTCTTTTGGCAATGAGTGAGGTTTTGTGCAAATACCCACATTACATCATGGATAGGATAATCTTTTCAAAGAACTTTGTACTAAAGTTGTGGACGTCCATTGCCATGACAAAAGTAGCAATGCTCTAAAATATTGTCCACTTCATACTCTTATTGGTCATCAACTACAATTGATAGTGGTGGTGGTTAATGTCGATTTGGGAAGCACTTTGGCTTGGTATAAAATTCTTTCAATTAAAAAATATGAAAGATTAAATGGACCTAAATATGTGGCAAAGTCCAAGGTAATATGAAATATTAGAAATTACTACAAAAATGTAAAAAAGTCTAAGGCTTGAAGGTGCTAATTTACAGATTTGGGTTGATGTAGCAAGTGGTAAGTTGGCATTGGAGAATAATACTTGATCATCTTCTTGAAAGGTCTTGTGTTGTCAATGGTTATCTATATACTTCTTTTGTCAATTCTCTATGGTAAAGAGGTGGTGTCGTGCCTCTTGTAAGGCTATTATAAGTTGTTGTATAAATTCTTATATTGTCAGATTGGTGTTGATGGAACAATAGAGAGTTGCTCGTGTAATCGAATATTGACTAGTATTAAGAAAAAATGGTGAATGACTGGTACTTGCTTGAATACTATTATTGTAAGTAAATTCCAAAGACATCAAATATTCATTTCAATTATTATGATGAACCACTACAAATACCTATAACATATCTTCCAAGGTATAATTTACATGCTTTGTTTGTCCATTTGTTTGGAGATAGAAGGCTGTAGACATGACAAATTATGTATCTAATAGCTTAAACAAGGCTTCTCAAAAACTTCTTGTGAAGCATGGATCTTGATCTGAAACAATGATATGAAGTAATTCATAGTGATAAAAGATAGTATCAAAGAAGACTCGTGCTAATGTTGAGGCATCAATATTTGAGGGCATCGTGGCCAAGTAAAGTTGCTTTGAGAATTGATCCATAAAGACAATAATTACGATATGATTATGAAGCATTTATAGCAAATACATAATAAGATCTGTAGTCACCTACTTCGAATATGCTGTAGATAGCGAGATTGGTTGTAATAGTCTAGAAGACATTACATTGTATACATTATTATATTGACATGACTTGCAAGAGCATACAAAAGCTCAAACATCATAATTCAAACCTATCCAAAATCATATTCTTAAGATTTATTCTAAATTTTTTACTTGGCTCAAATATCTAGATATTAGAATGTCATGTCTTTCTTAAAATATGTGCATCTAGAATATAGCATTATATCAAGGACAAAAATTTCAAAGAAGAAAATCCTCAATACACTCTTGTGTCACTGAAAAGAATTAGAAAATCACTCAAAGATGATATATTATTGAATTAAAATAGCTATTTTCAAAACAAAAAGATTAGAAAGTCTTAAAACAAGACTAAGGACTAAAAAGGCATTGATAAGAATGAAGAAGGCTTCACTCTTCCCTCCATATATACTCTCTAATTAGAAGCTACATAGCAATATTCTATAGGACCTCCAATATGTGTTGACTTTACTAGCCACATGTCTTAACTTACAAGACAAATTATCTATGTATGCGTCACATAGTTAGCTTGTTCCACAAGCTACTATAAGGAGTTAACTTGTTTTATAAGCTACCCACATGTAGTTAACTTATTGGCCAAGTTTTTAACCTACAAATACATCTAAAGTCAAAACCACATTTATAAAGCTTCTAGGAAGCTTTTCTATAAGACTTTATGAAATTAATCTATATTTATCTACTTCTACCTAATCATATAAGTAACTATTGATGTAAATGTATATATCTGTGACATTATTTTCCTTTCTAGAGACAAGTTCTATAAAAAGCGGTTATCATCTTTCATGGATCTTGCAATTCTTTATCTTGGTTTTGATAGATGTTGATGATGAAAGGCCTCAATCTTCTTTTTTGCATTTACAAGATTCTTTATTAGCTTCCATGTATATTTGATAATATCATATCCGTTGTCGTGTTTTGATTCGGCTACTATATGAAAATAATTTAACTATGTACTTAATATATAATTTACCAAGTAACATAGTAAGAGCCATGTTAATAGATTTTAATTGGTTGTAGAATATAATTTGATTATTACTTTGAGAAGAGGTTGATTAAAAAGATTACTATAGAATTTGTATAACTTTAATTTTCTTTTGAATGTGGCTTTTAAGATTGGTTTTAGTTGATAGTAACTTCTAAATATTTAGAGTCATCTTTGTTAGACATTGGTGACCTTTGAAAACTTATTTGGGTTCTTTTATTTGATGTTTAGAGCATAAATTATGTAAATATTATAAAAAAAAAAGGATTGAAGAAGGATTTTGGTAGCAAAGGGAATAATTAAGGCACCAATATAGATGAATGGAGATGAATGATGAAAATTTCCATTCCTATTGGTCAAAAATCATGACCAATAGGCTTTGAGGAGGCTGTCCGAGGCCATATTAGGGATTAGGATTAGTTATTCAAGGCGTTCGAGCTTTGAAGGCTAGGATCAATAAGTTTAGGTTTTTGGCTATGGTTTTGGTGCAAATTTTGTATGGTTTGGAGTTTATATGAAGGAGATACAAGCGCTCAAAGTTAAGGTATTGATTTAGGAGCTATTGTCACTCTTTTTAG